ACTTGACTAACAGTTACAGAATGGCACAAAATATTCTAACACTGGAAATATTGAAAGACACTTTAGAAAAATGGAATTAGAAATTAATATTAACAACATCAACAGCGATATCTGCCCCTATGGATAGACTGCATCTAAAAATGTTATGGAAGAGGAACAAGTTTTACCTGACAAGACAGAGATTGAGTTGAAAGTGGATTTACAAATGACAAGCTACAAGAATATGGAAAAAGATGTTACACTGGACATACAAAAGAAACCAGCTGATGTTTTAATAAATAAAAGGGACATACAAACAATAAACCAAAACAGTGATCTGGATATTTTTCTATACTGGACTTACAAGAGAGACCTGTTAAAGCTTTGAAGAATCTTGTGAGAAGGACAAAGAAGAAATAAAAAGAAATCAAGTTCTATAACATTATTAAAGATTAAATTGTTAGAAGTAAAAGAAAGGAATATAAAGTTGGTTTATTTGATCAAGGTTAAAATAGGTATGTTGCTATTTCTGATAACCCTTAATAGACTTTGACTGACACTAGGACTGAAATGATGATGCTTTATGGATTTGTTTATAGATAAGAGATGGGATATGGGAAGAGATAATTTGTTGTAATTTAAGAGATGAAAAGTTAATAAAATTGTTTAGACTTGTGATGAAGGGTGGAAGTCATTTCTTTATATATTTATTTTCTTTACTATATTAATTTTTTTTTCTTTTTATTCTTTACATCTTTCCTTTTTTCCCTTTGCACCTTTTACTGTTCCTTTTTTCTATCTTTCTGTTAGTTTTATTAGTTTTAATATTGTAATTATAATCTTTAGTAAAATTAATTGAGGGAAAAAAAAGAAACACAATGCCCCCCAAGAGAAGACTGGTTCCAACTCTGCTCACCTTCTGAAAAGCTTTAAAGACCTGGATGTGTTCCCAGGCCTGGAAGTTTATTAGATTTGTTTTTACTTCGGTGGTCATTATAGGTTTTATATATTGGTTGTTTCTTGGTTATTTTGTATGGTGTTTTTATTTGTTGTTAGCCACTGAGTCACTCTGGTGAGATAGGCAGCCATATAAATATAATTAAATAACCTGATGTCAGGTTCAGCCCAAGAATCACACGAGACAGTCCAGAAATCAGCTCAGCTTCTTTATTAGCTTTCACCTAATAGA